ATGGAAAAGGCCAGTCTCCTACTGAGCGAGACCGAGAACCAACAAGCCACACCTACTGGCTCCGCCCCTAAACAAAATGGTGGAATAATTGACTCAATCTCAAAGTTAGTTGTGTGTGTATTTTTATTTTATTAATATTGTGGTACAGGTTCTTTGTACCTGATGATGCTCCAATCATTACTGGGTCTAATGATACAGTCCCTACCACTGATACTATTAATATATTCTCAATAGCTTCTGGACACCTTTATGAAAGATTCGGCCTAAGGTGAGGAGTATAGATAGTGAGAGAGAAATCAACATTAATGGAGACAGACATTATACTATATTTGGGAATGGTTCTTTAAATTTGAGAGGGAGAGAGAGGAGGGAGGAGGGAGGGAGTGGAGGCAATTAATGTGAAGCAATTATGTACATACTGAAGCATATTGGTTGGTTATGAGAGATTTGTTAAACTAAGTTTAATATTGGACTGACATGTACTGTATGTACAGTGACAATTCAAACAAAACAATGACATGTACAGTGTACAATTCAAAGTAAAGAACACTAAAGATAATTTTGTTTGTACGTCAATAAATGATCATTATTATTGATTGTTTCATTCTCAGGATTTCATTCCCAGGATGGTTGAGAGGTATGAGTTTGAGTATGAGCTGGTACAGTACAAGTGGCCACGCTGGCTTCATGGACAAACTGAAAAACAAAGATTAATCTGGGCGTGAGTATAGATAATTATTAATTAATAAATAATAATAATAATAATTATTATTATTATTATTTTAGGTACAAGATATTATTTCTAGATGTACTTTTTCCGTTAAATATTAAGAAAATTATTTTTGTCGATGCTGATCAGGTAGATAAGACAGTGTAGTTATGAATTTAATATTTATAACTAGTTTTAAATAGTTATTAATGATTAATAAAAGTTATTAATGGTTATTAATAGGTGGTTCGTACTGATATGAAGGAATTGTTGGAGGAGCCATTGGATGGGGCACCTTATGGATACAATCCTTTCTGTGATAGTCCTACTGATATGTATGGATTCAAGTAATTCAAGCAGTATTGCTATAATAATGGCCAAATTTTGTCAGAAATGAAAAGGAGAGAATTCTCCTTTTTATAATTATTTTCTTATATACATACATGTACTTAGGTTGCGCTCAAAGTTTGAGCTGATTCCGATTAAAATTGGATTTTTTAATAAATCTTAACAGCTAGTCTTAAAGCCATGTAGTGTCAGCTCATGAAATATGGTGTTGTTCTTAATTTCCTATAGTGTTATTACATGTATAAGCTTATAATGTCCTTAATTAAGGCAGGCTTTTTCATGTTCAAGGAAGCTATTATTTCTGTACATATAGATTGTATGTTATGATTAATGGGCTATTATTGTTGTATTATCTGTTCCTCCAGGTTCTGGAAGAGTGGCTATTGGAAGAATCATTTAGGAAAGAGGCGCTATCATATCAGTGCACTGTATGTTATTGATCTACAGCAGTTCAGACTATTAGCTGCTGGGGATAGATTAAGAGGACAATATCAAATGCTATCACAGGATCCTAACAGGTACAGTGAGTCTAATCAATAATCAATGGATCATCATGAGACCTACTGACTCAAATAAGAATATCTTGATACTGACAGATTGTAAATTGTTGATAATTTTAAGTGATGGTGTAATTTTAAATAGCAGAATATGAAAGCTTTTTTTGTATTTTTATAAGGCTTTGACAATACTTCATAGAAGTGATAGAACATTATGCATTTAGGCCGTTACATGCAATGAAAGTACAATTATCTTTCTTTCTCCTTCTCTCCCCTTTCTTTTCCTCCCTCCCTCTCTCTCTCTCCCTCCCTCTCCCTCTCTTTCCCTCTCTCTCCCTCCCTCCCTCCCTCTGTCTCTCTTTCTAAAGTTTATCTAATTTAGATCAGGATCTTCCTAACAGTATGATTCATAATGTACCAATAAAGAGTTTACCACAGGACTGGTTATGGTGTGAGACATGGTGTTCAATGGAGACAAAATCAACTGCTAAAACTATTGACTTGGTAAGTTGGTATGATACTACTAGTACATTATAGATAGTAATGAACAGTCTAATACACTACTTGTACATATGGTGGGTATACTTAGCTTGTGCTGCATATGTTTTGATGGAACAGTTAAACTTAATAAGCCTAGCTACATGTAGTTTACACGTGCCACAAAATGCAATATAAAATTAAAATTTTACCAATTTTGTGTCAACTTCAGTTTGAAAAAGTCAGACTGCCCACACTATGTTCACTTTTACTTCAATTGTAAATTTAGCTTTACATGCAAATGTATAAACTAACTTGCTATGACAAATGGGCTGTGTCTCTTTTATCCTATTCTTCTCTCTCTCTCAGTGTAATAATCCAATGACAAAGGAGCCTAAGTTAACAAGTGCAGTACGTATCATTGATGAATGGGTTGACTATGATAATGAGATTAAAAGATTGCAAAAGGAAACAATGACAGAGACAAGTCTCCCTACCTCTCCCTCATCAACTCACACTCCCTCTCATCAAGAACTGCAATAATAATATTATTATTATTAATGATATCATTATTTTTGTAACTTACTCTTTCAATTATTTATAAATATCTTTTGAAAAGCAATAATTTAAAATGTTTGTTTTCCTAATGTTTGTCACAGGGTGACTGAGGGTGAGGTGAGGCCTATGTAAGAGTATTGGAAAATGTTGCAACCGAAAGTTGTTATGTCTGTTAATGTACATAGTGTGTGTGCTGTGTGGAGGATGGGAAGTCCTTTTACATTCTTCTAGCCTATAAGTAACTTTAATAATTGTGTGACTATGTTCAGAGTTGAGTGTAATACACTGAAATACATGTATCTCTAGCTCCCTCTTGTGTCTTAGTCTTGCTAGCCAGACCATTCCCCAGCCTACAGTCATTTTGGGGTACATGTACCAGCAGTGGCAGAGCTGGAACTAAACTGATGCCTGGGCCCAGATGTGGGTGTGTCCTGTTTTTAGCTTTTTCCATAGATGCTTTTTAATTTTCTTTGGGTATTTTACTTGAAAATGCTTGCTAATTGCTTATATGCACCTGTGTGCACTTGTTAGTACTCTGGTGAGGCTTGTGGTTGGTTTTATCTAAACTTTGGGCAAGAAATTGTTTACATTGCATCTAATGAATCTCATTACAGAGCTTTGATGCCCGGGCCTAGGCCAGTGTGGGCCCGGGTTCAGCTTCGCCACTGTGTACCAGCCACCACCCCAATGACTGTAGGCATGAAGGGTCTGGCTTGCGAGACTACTTGCATAATTTTTTTCCACCTCTTTCTCCTTGTCATTTCTTAATTCCTTCCTCTCATCATGAGAGGAAGGAATTAAGAAATGACCAAGCTTACTTTTCAAATCCCTTTCATTTACTGCCACGGTATTATATTTATGGAGGGACATGATAAAATATAGACTACACTCATCAGTTCCATCCTAGCTGCTGCTGGTACAAAAACCGGCATCACCTGGAACAATACACAAACAAACATCACATTATCATATTATTTATTATTTACTGATTATGCTGTATTAAAATAATAATATACACACATTAACTGACTGACTGTGTTTATTATTAGGAGAAGAGACTGGAGAAGTGGAGTGGACCAAAAATGAAGTATATAACTGTCACTAAACCATCAGCAGGTCAATGTCAGGAAGTGATCAGTCAATTAACGGACAGTCATCAGAACATTTACATCCGTCACTCATCACCTGATATTGTACACTTGATGATACACTGTAAAAACAAAAGTGTTCAGTGCCCACTTTTTTTGTAGCTAGAGCCAGTTAGAGTGTGAGTAGCACACTGCAACGTGGTGTGCTTACTAATTATTTGTGTCCCACACACTTTACTTCAGTGTGAGGTACACTTAGTGTGTGTGT